ATAACTTGGAAAATAGTGAATCGAACGTCTCGCAACATTAACAGTCAGTGAGAAAATCTATTTTGAAAGGGTTCATGAACCCTGAAGGACTCTACAAATCGCAGTGCTATACATTTGTACAAGAATTNAGGGGGAGGGGGGAGGGGGAACAGGAAGAAGGGGGAGGGGAGCGGTGGGGGCAGAATAGGGGGTTCAGCAGCACATTCAAATCACTCATATGCTTAAACGTGGTCCGTTCGAAAGTTGACTCAAAAAACAATACTCACCCTTTCATCTGTATTAACTAGGTAATCAAGGCTTGTGTTATTCCATGGTCAAAGCCCTAGTGTCAATAGTGCCCTAGGGCACAGCAAGCAGCAAGAAAGACAGACGACTTCATACGATATCGATTAGTGCAAAACTCGATTTACCTTCCAGATGGCTTTCAGAAACCCAGTGAAAGTGAAGTCAAAGACCGTCGAAGGCTCAAGTGGAGATTCAGGCGCTACACCCGAGGACTACTGCGATGCGTAATGAATGCGCTGTACTTCGTTAATGAGGTAGGCCTCTTTTTAGTAGGCCGACTGCCACCTAGTAGATGCTTTGGCGACCTCAAAAAAAGAGGGCAAACATAGCATTCCTTATCGAAATTCTCATTTTTCAGCGGTGGTAAACATCGTAGTGCCATGTTTGAAGTCAATGTTTACTATGAATGTGAACTGTATGAACTGCGTGTCTGTTTGAATAGGAAAAACGATAGGAGGCAGTCAGGTTCATGGCGAAACGACCTGGAACGGTCTTACGACTGGAAGCCTGTGAGTGGTACTACACGTAGGCTTATTTGGGAAAGTTCCTTTCACGGAATTTCCCTTTCAAATGTGTGAGTTGACGTGGCAGTCGAGAGTTGCTATGAACCTACGATAAGATAAGATAATCCAAAAATTCCAGTAGTAAAACCATAGGAACATGTGACATCACTGTAATCGAAGTGATAGCATCAAAGATTGTCCAACGAAGCATCAATCTCACTTCGTAATTCCTGTATAATGCATAAAATACAAAAAAAGCAAAAATGTGGACTTATTCCAACCGCTCCGGATGGATACGTACAGTTCTTTTTGAAGATGCACTACTGACCAAACCTCTTCAATTTTCAGGCACAACGACTTCACGTCGGCACCTTCATGAGGAAACGGGTAGGCAAGTGGAGTTTCACTGAGGAAGGTAGAAAGTATACGACGAGAGGAAAAGGTAGAAGAATGGAAGGATAGAAGCTTCGGGTAAGTATCAAATCAAAATCAAACCAATCAAAAGTATTGGCTAAGCAGGTCGAAGGTGACGAGTGACTGAGAAAGTTCGAGTGCTTGGGTCTCCAGTTCTTCAGCGATGAATGGTTGAGCATGTATTCTGGTCCTAGAAACTCATCTGAAGATCGTTCGGGGCATATAGGATGCTCACCCTACCTAGATGACCTATCAAAGTTGCTCAGGCAACATGTAAATGGACCAAATCCAAGTGTGCGATGTAGGGTTGTCCATGATATTCCGTGCCTGTTGTCCTTAACGGCGAAGCTCACAAGTGGCCCAGAAGGGTCTCAAACAGTAAGAGTAGGCTTGGACGCAGTCAGAGTAAGCCGGACTTGATACAGTCCATCGCCTCCCGATGTCGATCCAGCACTATCATGAGATCTTCTGTGGCCATGTACCTCAGTTCCACGCTTATGGTGGCTCCTACCTCAGTACTTGATAATGGCAGTTTTCCTTATCAGCCAGTTTGAAGCTTTGAGGCCTAGAGGAGTGCCATCGGCACCGTTCCGCCCACTCCATTACTACATGTGGTTAATCCCGATCGGGATCGAAATCTCTAGTTAACTGCGTAAGATTCTAAGACACTGACCACTAGGCTAGACCTTTCTCACAACATGACCTCGGGAAGTAAAGATTTTCGGTCTCTATTGACTATTGTATGCACTATCTGGCCAACCACTTTTTTTCCTCGGAGCACTCTAAGTGCAACACGACGACAAACCAAAAAAAAAGTGCAGCGGATATAAAAAGTGCGAATCAAAAACGTGTGAATGTAGTGATTGTAGGCTAACCCCCTATTCAAGTAGAGAGAATAATGGATGGTTACATAAAAAATGGAAAAAAGTCGCCTGTCAATAACTTGGAAAATAGTGAATCGAACGTCTCGCAACATTAACAGTCAGTGAGAAAATCTATTTTGAAAGGGTTCATGAACCCTGAAGGACTCTACAAATCGCAGTGCTATACATTTGTACAGGAATTTATACCTTTTAAATACCATATTTAGCAAGAAAACGTTGAAATAGTTAAAAAAAGTAATAGTGGAAAGATGAAAGACCATTCCCATTGTTATCTCCTTCTCTTGAGCGTAATACCTTAGTTTCGCAGGGTTCCATGAGGTTGATTATATCGTGTTATATAATAATAGAAAAAAATCGAACTAGCACCCCCTGGTTTCTGAGAGGACAGAAGATATCCTCCGGATGCTAGTCCAATGGGAAGGTAACATCTGGAAGAATTAGAATTTCCATATCCCTCCTTGAATCCCAGACCAAGCTGAAATCCGAGATTTTTTTTGGGTCGTCACTTTTGGGTAGTCACCGTCACCATTTTCAGAAACATTTTCATTGTTAATTGTGCCTTTAAGGAGTCAATGTCAAAGGAGTGGATATGTGTAGGATTATGTAGGACCATAAAGAATTGCATTTCTAGAGAACGCCCCGCCCATCGGGGGTGGGTCTCCCCAGTTCAATCTAACTTACCAAAGCACACCCCTAGCCACGTTTAAACTCCAGTTTTGAAGCCGTCTTGTTACTGAATTTGAAATCATGGTCCTCGGTAGGGCTCATTTCGAAGCACGCCACGCCCACTGTTGGCGGGGCTCCGCCAAGCTGATGTGTGTTTTATACTTCTCGAGACCTGGCCCACCATCCTACACTTGACCCGGTCTCTCCAGGCAGATCTAAAGGAGCTAAGCAATTTCGTGACAGACATACAGACAGACAGACAGACAGACAGACAGACAGACAGACAGACAGACAGACAGACGGACGGACAGACAGACAGACTAAGCGCTTTGTAAGTAGGATGTATGCAGGATCATGAAGGATCCTGTAACCACTTTCCTTGATCCTGGATCCTGTAACTTAATAGACGAATAGATGATTTGATACCTCAACCTCGATCAAGCTTACGTTACCAATTAAGGATGCACAGAAAGTGAAGACAAGTTGTACGTTTTGGTTTTTTACAACAATACAGCTGAATAGCGTAAGTCCTCGGGTGTAACGGACACTACAACGTATTACATTTGCTCCGTTAGGGCAAAATTCTATCTACCACCTCTACCAAGTCTTGTGCCTTGTTGAGATCGTTCTGATCTCTCCCTTGAGCTAAGTATCAGAGGACGAAGTATCCGCTTTCAGATTTTACCAAGATGAGGCACCTGCCAAATAGTCGATCAGGGAGCACTCACATTCATGAATCCACTCACTATATTGAATTTGTATAGTGAAAAAGAACCATAGAATGATTGAAAAATAGCTTCGATCAGCATTGTTCAGGGATGCGCCCTACATTCGGCTTCTATTCGAAATCGTAGCGTTCTTTGAAGATGCATGTGGTCTACTATGTGGTCTTGCGGGGTCAGCCGATATACAAATCACCTCTATTAACTTTCCAGAACAGCCTAATACCATTTAATCAGTTCCGAAAAGATGGAAGACTAGGTTGGCATAGGCAGCTACCATCCCGGGATCCAATTCCTCAAACCGAGCGCGTGTTAGTGTTTTCCATATGATGCTGCCCTACATCCCTGTAA